CTTTTTGTTGATGAGCTCTTGAGGTTCTCTATACAGTTTAGAGATTAACCCCCTCATCAGAGCTGTACTTTTCTCAACATTTCCCCAGTCTGTGGGTTGTCTTTTTATTCTTTAGATAAAGGCTTATGGTGAGAATAAGTATTTAATTTCTAGCAGGTCCCAATCATCTGTCTTGTGTTGTTCATGCATTTGTGATTGTGTTTGTTAGCCTTTTTTTTTTTTTTGGTTTTAAGATTAGGTCCCATAGATTTCTCTTTTTCCCCCTAGGAATTTTATAGTTTGAGGTGCTTTGGATATTTGGGGCCTCTTGGTTACTGTACTTTTTAATGTCAGAAGTTCCATTTCACTCTTTTGTATAATTTTTATATCTCTTTATTGAAATTCTTTACTCATTGAATATTTCCCTTAATTCTTTACAGTGGCTTCCTTTAGAACTCTAAATAGACTTATAATAGCTACATTGAAATCTTTTTAAAAAAATATTTTTTCTACTAAATCTAACGTCTGAGGATAGACTCACAAATGGTTCTACTGACTGTTTTTGTCCGAGTGTGGGCCATGTTCCTTTGTTTCACTGAATGTCTCTAATTGTTTTCTTTTAAATACTACTGGATAGCTTAGATCCTATCTAATAGCAACTCAAGATTCTGAGTCCGCCCCGTGTGAGCAGGTGCTGGTTGCTTTGTCTAGTGACTGGAATGAGGGCTATGCAATCGGTCTGTCAAACAATGGCAGTTACTGCTGGTGCTGTGGGGCGGCATCGAGTCAGCTTCAAGTCGCAGCTCCCTTCTGCACACGGGACCGAACACTGAACCCTCCTCACAACTGTCGCCATGCTCGAGTCCATTCTTGGAGCCACGGTGTCAGTTCATCTCAAGGAGGATCTTCCTCGTTATTGCTGGCCTTCTACTTTAGCAAGTATGCTGTCTCTCTCAGGGGACTGGTCTCTTCTGATAACAGGTCCTCACTTGGAAGGAGCGTTCTGGCTATACTTTTTCCAGTGTAGTTTATTCATTCTTCTGGCAGTCCAAAGTGTATTTAAGAGCCTTTGCCAATATCATGATTCAAAGGCATCAGAGCTTCTTCGGTTTTCCGTATTCTTTGCCCAGCTTCCACGTGGACAGGAGGCAGCTGAAAATAGCAGAGCTTGAGTCCGGTGCTGCTTCGTCCTCAGAGCGCTACCTTTGCTTTTAAACACGGTAAAGAAGTTTTGTGCCGCAGATTTAAATATTGCTTTATTTCTTGACTCCTTTTCCACAGGTCTTGATTGTGGATTCATTGCAAATGAAATCCCTGACAGCCTGCATATTTTCTGTTTTATAATGAAGTTGCTTATTGATCTATGACTTTTGTTTTCTTTGTGCTTAGGAGGAGGCCTGGTGATGCAGCAGGTTAAGCTTTCAGACGAGTGATTGATGATCAGGTTGCAGTTGGCCCTTACCTTGGTCTGACTCAGTCTGTGTAAGGGAAGTGACATTTTTTGCCTGGAAAAATGTCATTATCATTTAATTACATTTTTTTCCATGAAGTTTTTGAAGTCCCCTCATATTAAGCTTCTCTTATCTCTTTCCATAGATGTTATTGATTTGACTCCTGTGTGTCCCATCCAGTGCATTCCATGTGTATAGTAGTCATTTATTTTGTTACAAAGAAAAGGTATTTCCATGCGATCTCTAGTGCTGTTTCAATCACCACGGCCATAATCACTAACTACCCATCCATCCATCTTGTTTGCAACTTTTGCATTCCAATCATCAGTAATTATCAATGCATCCTAATCGCAAATTGGATCACTTTCAGAGTGCAGACATTAGTAAAAATATTGAATTTCTTTACCTTTGGCTATTAGGTATTTAAAGTTGAATGATAGTTGAATTAATTACCGTATATATTCGAGTACAAGCTGACCCGAATATCAGCCAAGGCACCTAATTTTACCACAAAAACTGCATAAAACGTGCTGAAAAACTTGACTTATACATGAGTATATATGGTAATTGGTCTTCCTTGTTGGTGTATAGATCTTACCACTAGCAACGATGTACTTCAGGACAGATTTTGAAATGTACTTTTTGATGATAAATACAACACTGTTTCTTTTCTATCTGGCATTCTTTGCAGAGTAAACCTCATGGTTATTGAGGTAGTTTATTGTGCCAGCCTGGCCGATAAACACAAGTGGGATTAACTGAAGGGCGGTGAGATAAATGGCTCGGTGAGCCTCGCCTTTCTTGTCTCTCGCTCTTTGATCATCAGACCAGTGTGCGGCTGCCTTGCTTGTCCTGTGCCTCAATTTACAGGCTACACTACCTGTGGGACGCCTAGCCTGTGGACTGTGTCACTGTAAGTTGAGGTCCCTTTAAGACATCTCTGGAGCTGGGGACTGGCAGTTGGTGACCTGGCTGAAAGTTGGTGACCTGCCTTGTGATTGGCTGCTGTGCTGAGATAGCCTAGCTCTCTCTATATATAGAGGAAAACCTGGCAGCAGACTAGACTTGAAGGACTGCTAGTGTCTCACAACTCTCTCTCACAGGAGTGAGTTGCACTGAGCCATTTGTACTGCTTTATAATATAACTGTTCATTTCTTGTATTATATATTTATCTGTATATGATTTAACAGTTCATTTCTTGTTATAAATCTAATTATCTTTATAAATAAATATATTAAATTATCAGCAATTTGGTTTTATCTCTCTAGAGAACCCTGTCTAACACAGTTATCATATTCAAAATGGCAATACCAGTCCATTTCAGTCTAGGCTACCGAGTTTGTATGTTCCATTTTTTACAAGCTTGTGTGTTCCAACTTTTATAGATTCATACTTTTCTTTCATTACACATTCTGATTATTAACAAGCGTTGGCAACTTTTTCTTCTCATATTGAGACCCGATGAATAAATGCGCACCTTAGAAGCTTTTCTCTAGTCACGTCTTTAAGGCCCACTCTACTTTGAGGAGACCGCACTTCCTTGGTCAGATTTTGAGTCTGCCAGCTCGAGGACCCGTCTTCCAGCATTCTGCCATGGGCAATACCCACTGCCAAGCAGGTTTCACTGGCCAATTCTTTTAGAAGTAGAGCCCCAGCTCCTCCCTCTTACTAGTCCACTGAAATCTGTCCATCAGGGGTGACGCTGCTGGACTTGAAATACAACGAGTGGCATTGCCACCTCAGCATAACCAGCTGACTGACGTGACAAATGATGGACATGTACAGTTACTGATGTCGTCATTCGATGTCTTACTTGTTTTGATATTTAGTCCTAGATGTGTCCACATAGCTTGGTGATCTGGTGAAGACTGATCTGAGGTTAGACTCAGACACCTCAAGTCAATAGAGCTGCTTTTCCCCACTTCTGTATGTGTGTGGTCCCAGGAGCATATTCAGACTCTGAGCTGCTTTCCCGTGTGCCTTGGTCTTCTTTTTCTGTCAGGTGTTCATCTTGTCTGTGTCTGCAGGCAGGCACCATGGGCCAACGTGTGGATGGGGGGGTGGCTTGGGCCCACTCCATCTCTGTTGCTCATGCACACAGACCAGGAACAACCTGGGATATATGGAGAACTATCCAATTAGCTCAACCTATAAACTTCTATGCCACCAAGGCTCCTTTATAGAAGGCTAAAGGTATCATTTCAGCAGATTAATTAATTAAGACATCTCACTCCTTGGGAACAGAACCCAAGGCCCCTCAATGTAGCTCTTTGATAGGCATTAAAGAAATGAAATAATCCAATAGAAAGAGTTCATTCCAAGGAATTTCAATTAAGACTCTGTATTCCACGGCTGTGCTGCCTCTCCTCCTATTTCTTCTTAAGAGCTCTGGTTCCCATAAAGTCTGTGGTTCAAACCCAGGAGCTACTCTGAGAGAAAGTTGAAGCTATCTGCTTCCATAACAATGTACAGCGTTGGTGAGAATGGCGATACTGGGAGGGTGAGAGGAGGGCAGGGTAGAGAGGGGGAACCGATTACAAGGATCTACATAAAACTTCCTCCCTGGTGGTTGGACAACAGAAAAGTGGGTGGAGAGAGACATGAGACAGTATAAGATATAACAAAATGATAATAATTTATAAATTATCAAGGGCTCATGAGGGAGGAGGAAGTGGGGAGGGAGGGGTAAAATGAGCTGATACCAAGGGCTCAAGTAGAAAGCAAATGTTTTGAAACTGATGATGGCAACAAACACACAAAATGGATGCATGTATGGATTGTGATAAGAGTTGTATGAGCCCCCAGTAAAATGATTTTAGAAAAAAAGGAGAAGAGAAAAAACAGGCTACAGTTTAGGAGGAAATGAGGAAAATAAGAAAGAAAAGAGAGAAAGAGAGAGAGAGAGAGAGAGAGAGAGAGAGAGAAAGAAAGAAAGAAAGAAAAGGAATCTGTTTGGTTGGGTTCTTCTCAGCTACACAGGGCCTGGCCAGGGTGCAGGACTGGGTGCTATGGCTGGGACACCAGGCCAGGGTAAGGGGCAAAATAAAATTATAGTGTTGGAACCCCTATTTATGGTTGCCAGAAGTTAGAATCCACTCAGTGGCAGTGGGGTTAGGACCTATTTCTTCTTATTTCTCACACCTCTCTATTGTATAGTTCAACCATGGTAAATCTGATAGACAATGGGCATTTTTATAATTCCATTTTGAAGGGTTTATGGAAGTCTCCCAACCTGGCTAGTTTTCTCTTTTCCTTCTCTATTACTTCAAATGGGTCGAGTCCTCTTGGCAAATCATTTGAGCTCTGGACACCCTACCAGCCCACAGGAAAAGAAAATTAGAACTTCCCCATGAAGAGAACTTAAGGGAATTTCAGATCAGAACTTATAGCTCAGAGAAGCTAAGGGGTTTACCCAAGATCACCTTCTAGGAGTGTGATAAAGATAGAATAGATAATTAGTGAAGCATCAGGTACAGGGCCAAAGGCTGGAAATAATCTCAGAAAGGTGGAACTTTCCACTGAACAATATCTGAGAACACTTCAATGTCCCCACCCCTCCCTTCTCTTACCTTTGCAAAACAAATCCAGGCTGCACACTGCCCTGGGGCCATAGTGCTTTTTAGCTTCACTGTGCTGATCATGAGAAAGAATCCTAAAAATCCACTGGAAGGAGAAAATATTCATGGATTAGTGAGGCTTGTCTTCCCTCAGCCAATATCTAACTATCGGCTGCTATGATTTCAGCAGTCAATTTTTAATCAGTCCACAAGTTCTATCTCATCTGTTTTCTAGTAATCCACTGGATAAAAACAAAGCCACAATTTTCAAAACTCGACTTTTCCAAAGTGCTATGGTGAAAGCAAGGCATCCTGGTGCTGCACTAGTTAAGCACCAACAGGTTGGCAGTTCAAACCCACCTAACCACTCTGCGAGTGAAAGACCTATGGGACCTGCTCCCATCGATCACACTCAAGAACATCCTGCCAAGCTGTTCTCTTCTGCAGAAAGAGTTGCTATGAGGTGTAATTTATGCAAGGGCACCTAGTGAAACAGCATGTTGAGAGCATTTTTTTGGAAGTGCCAAGTCAACCGTCATTGAGTCCATTCTAACTCATTGCGACCCTTTAGGAGAGAATAAAACTACTTCTTGGAGTTTCCAAAGCTGTAAATCTTTACAGGTGCAGTCAGCCCTGGCAGATAAGAGAAAGTAGACTGGATGAAATTAAATACACCAATAGCCGAATTTCACAGAAATTCACACCTTCCCTCATCAGATTAGATTAGTACACAGTCAGATCCTTGGGGCAGAACCAGAGACAGGCATTTGATTTCGACACAGCATGTTGGGCCCTGGTGACCTGTACAGTTTGTTCAGATTTGCATCTGCAGCTACGCAGCTACGGGCAACTGGACAGCTCTGGATGAAGACACCCCAGGGGGTCTTTTTGGGTAAGCAGAAGGTTGGAACTCCAATGGCCTGCACTTAGCCGTGCTCACTGGCCCTGTGACCTTAACCAATTCCTGCACTGCTTTTTTTATTGGCCTTGGGTTCTACGCTCTTAAAATAGGCAGAAACATGATGATCCCCACCCTGCTTTATGGAAATTGGAGCCTTTCAGAACAGAAAACCCTACCCCCCTTCTCTCTCTTTATTAACAAGGTGACACAGACACGATTGGAATCCAGGTTTCCTGACTCTTCAAAGAGCTCTATTTTCACTTCATCGTGGCTATAATGAGCAGGTGGGCAAAGGTGAGACAGCCTATGTGCTCCTGGCCATGAGGAGATGTGGAATGGAGAGATATGGGGGGTGGGGAGCAGAGCAGCTCGTGCTCCATGGCTCCTCTGGTGGCCCCCAAGGCTCCCTGCACTCGAATGTCTGCCTGCCCAGCCACCCACACCTCCTTCCCCTTGGCCTCCTCCCTGGTCCACCTCTAGCCTGAGGAAGAGCATGATTCCAACGGGACTGGGGCTCTGTGATAGGACTAAACTACTGTGGATTGTCAATGACCCTGATGATGAGTGACCAAGAGTCTTCCTGTCACTTGACTTGAGTGTGTGTGAATGATGTCTAAATTGTGCCTGGATAGCATATCTTTCTCCTTCCACCTCACACTCTTTTGCCCCCTGGAGAGGGACACAGGTCGTAAAAGCAGGAGAATCCGGAAGTGAATCAGCCTGGGACTCCCTACCAATGGGTCTGCAGTTTAGTCACCACTGGCCCCCTCAGGTCTCTAAGACACCATCTTAGTTCACCCAGGACCTCCTGACAGTGACAAGTCTCATTCTGAGATACGGTCATTGAGGAGCCATGACATGACTGAGGAAGACTCGTGTGTTATTTAAGAGGTTAAAGAGTTGTGGTGGAGCCAAAGGGGTACAATGTAACATTGCAAATAACGGTTTCCAAATCTTGAAAATGAGAAACATGGTTTTTCCTATTGATCTGTAAGAGATCTACAGATTACAAGGCGCAGAAAAATAGCCAGATGTCTCTCCACACCACCCGTGGACCGTGAGCTCAGTTGCTGTGTCCCAAAGAACAGCACACTGTTGACTTCACCTCCTCATCCTGTCTGCTCTACAGCCAATTAGTCAGATTTCTAGTTTGAGGTTCAAGGTTACTTTACCTCGAGCAGTTTAACCGTTGTCCCTGGACTCTGTGAGTAATCTTGACAATAGGTAGGCTACATTGGCCACTCCTGAGGGTTTGTATTAATGAGAAGGAACTAATCTGGGGCCCTCTCGGATCACAAATAATGAGTGTGGGCTGGTGGATATAAGTCCCCCACACCAAGGCTCAGAGAAGTTGCCTGAGGGGGAGAATCCTGAGAGAAGCTCCCTGGGCAAGGATGGGTCCGCCACTCAGGAGACCTTTTCAAAGCTCTGCGAGTACCTTGTCATGTTGCTACTGAGCTATGTCTGAGTTGCATCCTGTTATTCCTGCTACTTAAACGTTGAGTTGTATCCTTGACCCTGACAAACCACGTGACCATGGAGCACCAGTCCTGTGAGAAATGGCAGTGAGTGACCAACCTCAGCAGAGAAAATGGGAGACCACGCAGGGAGCGGCTAGAAAGTGGAGTTCCACTTGGCCTCTGCGGTTTGGGCCGATTCTGATTCATGAAATTATCCATTCACCCAGGAGCCCACGTCCCTGAGGGAACGTGTAGGCAGGAGACTACGCTGTGCAATCCCAGCCACGAACCGAGCTGCTAGGAACTGGAAAGACGAACACGACAGTGTTCTCCAGATACCTTTCTGGGGGCAAGAAATGAGTCGCTGAGACAGCAGCCAGAGTCACAAAAGAGAATGCCCGTGACCACGTGTTGAATGGAAAATTAATTTACTCTGAAAACTTTCACCCAAACTACAGTAAGGGTGTTCAAATAAATAAGTCATTCTGAGGTTCAAATGCAAAAACAAGCTCTAAACTACTGATTTTTGCCCCCTTTGCCCCAACTACCTGAAGAAAGCGGTACATTCCCCTCAAACCCAGGGTGTGACCACCTACTGAGCAATTCAGCTCTCTGTGAAAAACCACTGCTTCACAAGGTCCCATTTTATACCTGTGCGAGCAGCTGGTTGGATTTCCATGTGGCATTTCTCATGATGTGTTAACGCTTAAAGTCAGCCGGAGCAGATAATATGTCATCAGGCACAAAGCTTACATATCGAACACACGCAACAGCCCTGCCTTAGTATGGTTTTTCCATTTTACACATGAGAACACTAAGGCTTGGGAGAACTTGAATGACATCCCAAGGGCCACACCATCAGCAAACAGCAGTGCTGGGACGCAAACTAGGCCTGGTCCTAACGCCATGTCACAACACGCACTTTGCAATAGCTCCCAGAAGCCTTTCTATTGTTCAGCAGAAGAAAGTCAAACTGAGTGTGTGTGGGGGGTGGGGG